TTAACTGTTACTGGTTTGGTGGCCATCCTTGATCTTCTTGGTTTTCAACTGCAGCACTTTACTCTCTGCTTGCATCATCACATGGCATTAGTCTCTCATGAATGTGCCCCATCTTCATGAGAACAGATGCCCTATTTGGAGAATGGGTCCACCCTGTTCAAAGAGGATACTTTTAATTGGTAAGATCACAATGACCCTCATTTGAAACCCAGTAAAATTTGGAGGTACTGTTTAAGTTCTAACTTAACCATGTTTAGAACTTAAACATGTATTTGTGTGGAAATTTGACCCATAACAGAAATGACTGATTCAAAAGTATACTTTTTCTTTACTTCCTGATGGATCTGTCAAGTGTTATAAAGGAATTCTGAAACCTTCTAGTGTAACAGTAGAATATTTAATTTCTCATTGTAGTTCCTTCAATGTTTTGTCTATTTTGTTTTTTTTCCTGGTATGCTCCTTCTCTTGCCATTCAGAAACGATCATGTTCCAGCAGTAATTGAGCCTGTGTGTGTTAAACACTCTAGTCCCATATCCACAGTTAGGAAGCCCCTGGAGTGTTTCTTCAGCAAACCAATATACTGACAGTTACTCTATATTTCCCTAGATTGCTATGAAGTCATAATAGAGGTGGTATCTTCTGATTTGGGAAAAGACCAAATACATCGTATTGCTGAGGTAATGTGACCCTTCTTTGTCTAAGATATAAGTGTTTTTTTATTCCTTTTAATTCAAATTCCTGCATGAAAATATTACAGTGTTCACTGTAGGTGACTCATAGGTGGTGGAATTACAACTGCTCATCTATTCCCTGTGAGAATGATTCAAGATGACATTCACATATGAGAACAACAATTGTCAAATGATTGTAGTGAGTATTGTCTTCAGTGGCACTTTTCCTTGATAGAAAAAGAATTTTGTGTAGGTCATCAAATTGTACCTGAGAAATCCCTCATGCAAAGCTCATGTCTTTTCACAGATGCCCTCTGCCTTACTTTGTGATCTTTGCCCCAACTGCTGTTTCCCATCTAGTTAACTAATGTCACCATAGCCAACAGTAGACTTGTGAAAATGATCTCCTGCTCACACTGTCTTCCTTTCTGTAACTACAGGTAGCCTCTGCAGCAAATGAGCAAAGTAAGTATTCTCAACTCCCTAACATGCTGAGGAACACCTCTGTATTCAGATAGGTCAGACATTCCTTCCTGTTTCTATGTAAAAAGTTATCCTGGATTTAGATTTTGTTTGGAAATGAAAATTGGGATATGGTGACAAAGTGATAATCCAGTGAAGGATTGTGGCCATCTACCATGATCCTGAAACAGCTGTCTTTTGGGTGGTGTGCATTTATGTGAATGAGCATGGGGCGGTGTCTCTGAGCATGTCCATGTGTAATAATTGTGTATGTGTTTGTGAGGCTATGGGAGCTTCCTCAGAAATTCTCTTCTAACATGCCCAGAACAAGCATCCATTTTCTAAAAATAAAAACCCACACTAATGCATGATTTGTTTGATATAATTTCTTGCCACTTCATGACACCGAAATGCAAACTTGTGGTTACTAGGCCCTCTCTGTAGATAGAGATGTTGCTGAGCCAAAAGTACAGGTTCTTCACTCTGTAAGTGAAAGAAGTTTTAAGAATTCAGGAAATTATTCTGATGGTGATGCTTTGGGATATGGAACTCTGTACATCACTTAGCGATATAACACATTGCAGGTGATTACAATGTATTAGTAATAACTAATCTCCTACAGAGATGTGAAATATTTTGCATACTTTTAAAGTGGCCTCAGTGGTCATCTCTAGAGACAAACATACCTCTAAAGGTACAAAATAAGAAACACACATATCACACCTGGTTCCAATCTACTGGAAACCCAAACGCTGTGCTTCTCATTCATTCTTGTTCTTATCTTTGCTGTATATTTTCTCTGATGTCCATATCAAGAAATGCCCTGACCTATTCATAAGCAATAAATCAGTATACTAATCATTATTCTGCATCCTCCTAGTTCCCCCAAATGGCATGGTGGAGTTCATTCCTGAAGAAAGCATGAGTCGAGAGACCCCATCAAAAGCCATTGTAAGGTTGCTTATCTTTCTTTGAAATCCAAGTGTTGCTCTTTAGTTTCTCTTTCTCTTGTAATATGATATGGTTTCCTTGAGATGACATACACAATTTCCTGAGTGTGCAGATTCTCACCGGGGTGTCTTTTGCCAAATGAGACCCCACTGAAAGCAACATTAACAAGAAACAGTATCAACTGCACACTGTATGATAACAAGCTTTGTGCCTGGCTGTGGTTTTCCCCTCATGGCCATCGAATTCCTTAATTATCACCTAATATAGACCTGTGACACAAATCCCCTAGAAAATATTGTGTCATTTGGTGAGAGTACATTTGCTATGTGTTCCCTTGATTTGCCCACATTCTCATTGGATTTTCTAATGTCACCAAGTAAACAAAAGACTTGAGCACAAAGTACTGAGCATGGCTTGATCTTCATAGTGACTCCTTTTCGTATTTACAGGAGGATTCAAGAGGATCCATAGTTGGTATGTATCCTGACCTCACTCTCTTCCTGTTGCAAAATGTAAATGATGCCAAGAGTCGGAGAGTCTTCCTTCATTTTGAGTGCAGAGTCTCAGTGATTCTACTACCTCCTTGAGAATGAGAAGTGAGGGGGTTGTGGTCCAAGTTAATTTAAAAAAAAATCTATGGCATTCTGCATATTTTTTGAAGCACCTGAGTGAGTTGAGCAAAGTGGTTAGGTCAATGAGAGTTTTATACATGTGTCTCTGTGCATCCATGCAACATGATTCTGAGTGTGCCTTTGTGTTCGTTTTTGCACATTTGTTGTTTCTCTAGATATATACATGCCAAGATGCCAATGTCCACATGTTTAAATAAAAAAAGCCATCTCCATTAGACCATGATTTTGTATATGTGTAAATAGATCAAAGTGTAAACTTTCCATGTGTGCAGTTCATTCCACACCAATACCTCAATTAATATGCAAAACATATCCCATCAAAACCCAGAAAATTTTCACGACACTCTATAAGGAAAAAGCTCGGGTTCATTCCTGTCACTGCACCAGTAGCTACTTTGTTTAATAGCAAACCTCACCTTTCAGTAGGCCCTGTATTTAGTCAGTGCATGTGATTGTTCACAACATTTCACTCATGAAAAATTTTCAAGTTCATATACATTTTCTGTTAGAGGTACATTCTAGGCACAAGTTTCTGGACATGGCCAATCCTTAACAGTGACCCTCAGGTCCACCAATACACTATGCTCACTTATGGTGGGTATCTGAGACAGAGGAGATACACAGGCCAGAGGTTACTGTAGCTAAGGAAGGGCTTACTTTGCATGTTCCAACTGACACTGAAAGCTACCTTATTGGGTCTTTTTGTAGACATTTATTTGTAGAAACATGTTTTAACTGGATGGATTTTCATAGGGCCTGATCAGCACAACTGCAGCTCATCTAGTAACAGAGCAAAAGGTGGGCTCTAGTGAAGGTCCAGCTCAGCACAGCAGTGGTGTCAGATCCCTAGTTTAGATCTGTGCTGCTCCCTGTGTGGCCTGCAGGATATCACATTGACAGTATATATGATAGGTCTTCATAGTGTCAGTCTCAAATGCTGTATAGGTCCTTCTATTCATACATATATAGATACTGACACTGACTGGTCACTGTGAGGGTAGAACCACTGTGGTCATCATTCTTTCTCATCCCTGAACTCCTCTCTGGGTAGAGTGTCTTCATCTTAGTCCATGTCATCATTTGATAAATGCAACTCTATGCTAAGATCTCACTTGTCAAGCATGTGGGGCTCTACAATGAACCAGGTATCCACCTGGGATCTGACCAGGACCAGCCAGAATCAGTAGGTAAGTTATGAAGATAGCATTGTGTCCAAGCTTTTCACACACATATCTCATGAGCTCTAGGTGGGACATGCTTGATCTTGTGCAGAGCCATCTGGATCTTAATGTTGACTTTGTTTATGTAGATTCCTCAGGCCCTCAGAGAGTTACTGGCACTTTTCACTTTTGCATGACTCCACAGTCTACTTATAAATGATAAGTATGAGGAGTGAGAACATGCTAGCAAACTCCTTCCAAGGAAACTCAGGGGAAGGAAATTATTGCCTGCTTCATCTTTGAACTCCAGGTCTTGGCCATCCAAAATAACAGTATTTTACATTTTATTTTAATTTTAAAACAAAACTTTCAAAGTGGCCAGTAGACCCATGTGGATAAAGCAGAGAGCATTTCCTTTTGTCTTGTGAGCAGCTGGTCTGATGCTGGCACAGTATATATTCTGCGTGTTTATATTCCTGAAACTGTTGGTATTACAGTTTGCATGTCAGCTTGGTCTGTTTCAAGGAGACAGTGATAATGTTCCAATGGAAGAAAGTAGTTAAAATTTGACTCCTTA